GAATTGGGTTTGTCCGGAACCAAATAATGCATTCCTTCTTGCCCTCGTTCCTTCAGGAGATGTTCGTGGAGCACACATGTTTCAGGCACTGTTCTAGGCACCGCAGATGCGGAGAAGAAATGAAATACTCACAGAGCTTACTGAAGGTAGGAGAGAAGGAAACAATCATTCTGTCTTGCCCTCTTTGCTCCTGCCTGCCAGGAGCAGCTCCCGCCAACCAGGAAGCACCAGCCCAGGTTCCCTCTAAGGTATCACCCTATGGTCACCATTGAGGGAAGGTCACACAATGCCTGGGGCCAAGTTAGGGCCAAAGAGGGCTGGGATTCTAAGATGCAGAGAAGATGCCAGTAGGTTCCGGATTGGGTGAGGAATGGGGATGAGGTTGTGATTCAGGCTGAGCTTAGGGATAAGGCTGTGGTCGGAGGTAAGGAGTGAGATGACCTTTTTAAGACCCAAATGTGCTCCTGTCACCCCCACCCCGTCCAACCCCAGCTCAGGCCTGGCAGTGGCTCTTTCTGACCTTCCAGATAATGACTTCATCCATTCACATACCTCCTGTGGCTTGTCTCCTAGGTCTCGTCCCAAAGCAAATCACCACCCTTCCTCCTGGAGCTTACCTTCTAGTGGAGGAAACAGACAATACAACCTACTTAATGAAGTAAATAAACTATTATGTTAGTGATCAAGTACTGAAGAGAAGCAGGGAAAGAAATTATAAAGTATAAAGGAGCAAACTTTAGATAGAGAGGGGTCAGGGAAGTGCCCTTTGACAGGGGGACTTTTGAATAAAAGCATGAAGGAAGTGAGGTCAATCCCCCTTCCAACCACAGGACTTTTGCACATGCTGTCCCACTCTACCTCTTGGACCTGGTTAAGTTTCCTCTTCCTTCTGATCTTAGCTTGATAAGGGCCTCATCAAGGAAGGCCAGATTTCACTACTAATGGTTCTCACAGCACTGCAGCTAACATCTTTGATGCCCATCTTCCCCACTAGATTAGACTGTCCATCATTTGGTTGGGTTTTCTCCCCACCTCCTGGCACAGTACCTGGCACCTGGGACACTCTCGAAACATGGTTCTTAATGGTCAGGTGGGCTGGTGGGATGAGGACGAGGCCAGGGCTGGGAAGTGCATCAGGGATGGGGCTTGATTAGGGGGAGAGGAGAGCTAGACTGGGGTAAATGCCAGGCCAGGGGCAGGGCGCCGGGTTGGTGATGGGGGGAGAGGAATGGGTTAAGGGGATGGGGCAGGATCGGGGAGAAGGCTGGGGGTAGTCATGCCTGTGTATGACTATGGGGGATTGGCAGGGCTGTCTCATCTGCGTGGTACAGTGCTGCCCTGGGCTGAGGACAGGAGCTGTTAGGCAGGTCAGGCCTGCCCTCCTGGACTCTACTCAGCCACCCAGATGACTCTTGGGGGATGCTAGGAGCCTGATGGTGCAAATTTGCATCATAAGATGCAAATTCCATGCAAGCTCTCCCAGCCTCTCCCAGTGGCTTGTAGCCACTCCCCTTTCCTGGAGACTGTGCCCCCAGGGGGCTGCTAATCTCTTTTGCGGAGCAG